AAAAAAAAAAAAAAAAAAAAAAAAAAAAAAAAAAAAAAAAAGTTATTTTTTATAAAAGCTGCCAACTGCAGATTTAATCGATTAGTTGTTTGACAGAAAAATAACCAGCAACAATTTAAATAATTGATTATTTGTAGAACTGTGAGGATTAGCTGCTTTTCTCCGTGTTTTGGACTGTTGGTCGGCAGCTGTGACTGACTCGAAGTATTTGGTCAATTTTACACATAATAAATATATTTACCAGCCCTAAATATTCAGCATCCATCTTACAAAGGACTCTTCTTATCTTACACTTCCCCTGTCAGTGCAGCTCTAGTTTAATTCTGTATTTCAAAGTTCAGTAACCCAGGTTCCACTTTTTTTTCCCCACCAAGCAGATAACAGAGGCCCTGCTATCCCCCCCCCCCCCTCGGCCCCAATCCCCCCTCCAGTGCAGTGTGATTGCTGTGCTCTGTAGAGACCCCAATTAGCAGGACTAGCAGGCCTCCTGAAGGTCACCCCCAGAGCTTTGGTGTGAGAACAGAGGAGGGCCGGACCGGTCAGGAGCAGCTCTGAGAGTGACGGGGCTGAGACTCTCAGCTGGACCCTGGAGCTCTCGACACGATAACCAACACTTTCTTAACGGCAGTTTGCATGTTCTCCATTTTGCATCGCACGGTGTTGGCAAAAAGTGTCTCTACTTTTTTTTTTTTTTTTGCTAAAGGTCAAGTGTTCTCGGCAGACCGTCGTAGTATTCTGTGACCATATCTGAGAGATCCATTTGTCATTAGCTCCAAAGTCCCCTACTTCATCAGCCCGTGTCTGCTATCTGGGGCCTGATTGATGGCTCTGTCCTTATTGCGGGGGAACGAGGGTCGATGGCAAAAAATTTGCTACTGGGTGCATTAATGCTGAGCTCAATGGCGTAGACCTTTGAGCGTGCCTCATCAGTCTTGAATCATTGGACGGCCGCAGGAGATCTGAGATGAGCGGGCATGATGCAAGAATGCAAGAGAGAGTGAGCGATGGGGAAAAGGAGTTTTATCTTCTGGGCTAACTCTATTACTCATACCGCTCTATCTCACTGGGACAGGCCAGAGGGAAATCTAGATAGAGTTAACTATTTGGGCAAAACTTAGGCAAAATGTAGAACTATTTATCTCATACGTTTGGTCACTTTGACATCCCAAACGTATCAAAAATCAGTAATTGAATCATCGGAAATAGTGCCGCGGTTGTTACGTGACATTTGGTTTGTTTGCTTTGGTATTGTAGTGATTGTTTTTTGGATATTAAACCCAGTACCTGTGTAGGAGTAAAAAGAAATCCTGGTGCCATGACAACACCAGTAACACACCGACTGTAGGTGCAGGCTCACAGTCAGACGGACGGACGGAGGGTCCTGCGGGCCAGATGTTCCCTCGCAGACACAGAGGTGAGATGTTTGCCTGGCTCACTAGCTGGCTGCCCAGTGCCCCCGAGCCAGTGTCTGCTGGGGGAAGAACTGGGGGCAGAGAGGCTCTCGCATATATACGCAGGAGACGGAAGCAGAGACCACAAATGTCTTGTCTGTCACAAAGGGCGAAAGGAGCCCGTCTCACACAACTCTGTCTCAGGTGGGGGAGAAAAAAGACATCTTTCATTCCTCGGCTGGTCTGTAGGTGCGAGGGGGACTCGTTTGGTCTCGCTGGAGGCCAGGCTGAATGTCGGAGCTGCCATGGAGGCGGCTGACCTTACCAACCTTACAGACACAGGATGCAGACACATCGGCTTTTATATGTCATGTACACAGCAGGGTTTGGAATCGGCATGTAGCCATTTGCTTTTGACTCGTGTGGCTGCAGCAGTATATTTTCACCAGTTTTGTGCGTTGCACCAGACCTGCATCTCTCTTTTTCTATGGCGTGCATTAAAAAGCTCTTCACGGAATTTGGAAAATACTGCCACAGAAGCATTACTAGTAATTACAGATTAATTAGACACAGTTAAAAATACGTGAGTATTCATGACAGCATCATTATTATACATTACAGCATCTAAATACTTAAAATTGATGGTAAGTTTACAGATGTAGACACCGCTCGCACTTTCATTATGTCACAAGTTACACTTACGACATTAATGTGTTTAAACCAACAGCAATAAATAAGAAGACTAATGGTAAACAAGATTGTGCTTTTAATGCGGCATAATAAAAGGTTGAATTGTTTGAGCGAGTCCTCCTGCAGAGCTGGACCAGGCATGAGTCTAATTAGGGTGTTTTCTTTCTGTGTGTGTGTGCGTGTGTGTGTGTGTGTGTGTGTGTGTGTGTGGATTGGTACATACGCAACTCATATGGGAGAGAGGCCAGTTAGTATAATGGCAAAGTGGATAAATCTCTCACAGCAGGCCTGTGTAACACTGGAAGCTGTTTTTGTGCGTTAAGCCCCTTTAGGATGATTTGTGAGAGTCGGCGCTCGCACAGTTATGCCTAGCTGAGCTGCTCTGACCCCGCTCTTAAATCAGCCGAGCTGCGCTCGCAAACAGGCCGGGGCTGGTTAATGCCGGGTCAATAATATGGGTCCGGGCGGGACAAACACACAGAGGCTTAACTTTTCTCTCCGTTAAACACAGTGTACATGTCAATAAGGAGACATTGAAATACTAGAGGAGGTCATTATTCCTGCAGGGGAAGTTACTGGTGTATATGTAGGTTTGCCTGTGTAGTATCCTGTGCATGCACTATATATATATGTACAGTATGTCGTATATAGACATATATGTATGTGTGTGAGAAAGAGCGAGATTGGGGAACAGCTGCATTGATTTGGTTTTTGTTTGCTGAGTACTCGGAGCAGAAATGTAAGCCGTGGGAACACCTGGAGAGGGGAAAATGGGAGAAGAGGAGGTGGTTGTGGTGTCAGCTCTGCTACTGGCTCTTTGCCAAGTATGCATGCACACACACACACACACACACACGTGTGCATCTCTGATGTGTGAGGGTGGCCTGGGATCCCAATCAGCAGCACTTAACAAAGCTTTCCTCTTTCTCCCTTTAATCGCAGGCTCAATTTGTCACTGGGGTGTCCAATTTCTGATAAGCGCTTTGACTGAGAGAGGCGAGGTGGGTGTGGAGAGGAACACAAAATGGATGCACCTGCTAACAAATGAAATCAAACCACTCCATCTTCATTTCCCCTTTTTTCTTTCTTCCACCAGCTGGAACAATGCTGCCGTGCTTTAGCTCTCGGCACATTGAGTTATTTCCCGCTAACTAGGGAAACGGCCTGGCCGACTTACAGTCACACAGTTAGGACATGCTCGGAAGTCTTTCTTTGAAGCCGCTGATGGGCCACCGGGCTCATATCTATTTCAGACCTGACGGGAATTAAAAGCTAGGGTATATGCGGTTTATTTCAGAAGCATTTTTTTGTTATATTTGTTCAAATTCTTTGAATCATTTCATTCGGCCTGCATGAAACGATTGGATGGCCCGTCCACCTTCCGAACCACCGTCACCGGTGTCTTCCACGAGGCCAGGCAGACAAAATGGTTCCAACGCTAACATGCTAGTGATAGCTGTGAGTGCTAACAAGCCATGTTGGTTGTTTACCCTCATTATGTTCATGCAAGGTGTTTGCTTACATGTGAGTGAGACATGAGGCAGCTCTCAGGTGGACTGGTCCTCCAGCAGTGGGCAGGCTGTGGGCTGCCATGTGTTTTGGGGGCGTGGCCGGGATGTTTTTGGTTAGTTGGATACTTTAAAAAAATCCAGCTTACTCTTACTGGTTTCCCCAAGGTTGCCGACTTCAGCAAAAGGCTAATTGCATAATTTCCTTTTAGCCTCAGTATGTTTTCAGAACAAATACATTTTGTTCAGTCGTATTTTTTTTGTCAGAATTACGAGGCTATTGTCATCTTTGTGGACAGAGCAGGACAGGTAGCTCATATTGGATACATATATCTTTGTGATCAGTTCAACGCAGGCTCGTCTGTTTGTTTAGGTTTCTTCATCCTGTCTGTTCCACGACTAAGTGATTTATACACCCAAGCAACTTGAAAAACCAGCTGCCTGAAGTCTGACGATACCTATCACTCCACATAGCCTAATACACACACACACACACACACACACAGACAGTAGATCAACATTAGTCTAGTATCTGTATGTCTGTGTTGTTTTAACCATGGCATCCTAGTCCAAACCCCGCAGTCTGGCATCTGACACGGCAGCATGTGACTCAGCACATTGTTGTCTGGTGTGATACGGGGGATATGTGAAGATAACACGGATGCGGTGGCAATGTGCAGGAGATGAAACGGAGCAGTGTTGCTCTCATATGTATGAGCGGTGTGTCGCTGAGTTGTGTGATCTGCTGGTTACCAGGAGGCTGAAGTTCCTCCAGAGGATAAAAGAGTCTCTTCCACGGTGTTTACTTGCATTCCTTGTGCCTCTCAGTGGCACAAGGCATATCCGAGCCAGCGCAGTGCGGCTCGAGGGATGGCGACGCCGGTCCGTGGGTCAGTCCACCGTTGTGCTCCAAATATCTCAACAACAGTTGCCGAGCAATTTTGAACAGGCGCTCATGGACTTCATACTCTTTGGTGATCTGTCGCCTTTTTCATCTAGCGACCACAAGCAGGTAAAAGTCTTCTCTTATCCAGGAAAATATTTCAACATCTGATGTCGGCGTTTAGTTCAGCTGAAGCCTCACTATGTTGACTTTTCCCGAGTCAAAGTGTTTTTAACGTCGACGCTGAGCAAGAACAGGCCCAGCCTCTGAACATCGTCGTGGAGGATTTTTAGAATAGCCTCTGAATAAACTGGGTTATTTCACGTGTTGATCTTTAATTACTGTGATGTATTAAGAGTGTGAGTAAATCAAATCCAATCTCGGGAGCTGCGTCTTAAGATCTTTGCTTTCTTTTTCTTTTACTACATGTCGGCTCTTTTTAAAAAAGTTTTTCCTCTCCCTCAAGTGGTTTAAGACATGTCACGTCTGAGAGAAGGCTGGCTTATTCCTCACTGAGGCATGCCCAGCTTCTGGCTGCACTCTGGATGGATATGCAGCAGATAAATAAATAACTAGGCTGGCACCCCTCACTTCGGATCCCCTCTGTTTTGGCAGGCCATCCACACTGCATTTTCTATCAGGTGTAAACATGTCCGTCGAACGGCACAGCCAGGGGCCCCCGGCATGCATGCGGCGCTGCCAGCGCTTTCTGTCTGCCCGTCTGACCTTGGCCGGTCTTGACATGACTGAGCACACTTAGTGCTACCTTCTGCATTGGGAGGGCTCTTCTGGAAGGCAAGTGGGTTTAAGTGGCTGTTAGTGAAACTGACCCTAAGTTGAAGAATGGGGCCTTAGCTGGCTGGCTGGCTGTCCCCTCAGCGCTGACGTGGTGGACGGGTAATGTGGCCTGTCGTCGTCTCCGCTCCACTCACACCAGACAATGGACATCATCTGAGAGGTCGGGGAATGAGGTCACTCTGATAAGAAGAGGCCTCATAGTTTGGACGCTTGTTTCCTTTTTTCTTGGTCCCATAGCACACGGCTACTCGTAAGAGCCGGCGTTCTCATTGTGGAACCAACTTTTCCATATCTGACACGTCTATGCAAAGACTTAGCCGATCCAGCTGTGGACCTCTGCATTATTCCAGGGGCATGCTGTCTCTCTCCACTCCGTATCCGCCGTCTCACCTTGGGGAACTGTCACTTTTTCATCAGTTAGCTATTGAGCATTCATACAGCCTCCCAGTGTTTTTCGCAACAGCCCCCACCCTCTCCCATCCAATCCCCAAAGAAGAGTAGTTTCAAGTAGCTGTCTTCCTCTCCCCTCTCCCACACTGCTGCAGCAGCTTCCTTGTTTGACAGTTTTATGCCTGACACCCCGTGTCTAGCAACTTGGAAACCACTATTTTACAGACTCTCAATTTGTGTGCGAGTTGGGTTTGGGTTTGGTCGTCCTCTCTCCGTTTTCACCCCCTTCCCTCACTATCATGTCCGTCTCCCACTCTTTCGCCCTTTCTCCATTGGTGTGAGATAACAGCTATGATGGCAGGGGGGGGGGCGGCAAACGGGCCGTCCCAAACGCCTCGGGATGCAGGATGTGCTGGAGTCATCAGGATCCATTGTGAGAGGCTGTGTATCCCAACATGCCCGCGGCCCTCTGCTAGCAACAGAAATCCTTTTTCTATCTCTGTTGTTTGTGAGCCTGACGGGCTAATGAAGGCCATACTGATGTATCATTTCTTCCTAGCGTGCTCGAAAGCCAAAGCTTTTGTCCCTCCTCTCCTTTTGACAGAACGCTCCGGCTTGGTATTCAGGGGCAAAAAGCTATTCTCTGTTTCCTGCACCTTTTTTCTTTCTTTACCTCCCATTCAGAGACTCGGCTCGCAAAGAAAAGTAATTTCACTCTCAGTCCCTGAGAGAATCGGCACAGTGAAGTTGCATTGAATTTTTCTACTGCAACATTTTTTTCTTGGCTCTATTTCAGACCCATAACCTGGGGGTAAACATGCAATTAGAATAACAGCAGCCTGCTTTCTCCTCCGCTCTCCTCTCCTTCAGCCGTTAGCACAAGCAATGTACAACACGGTGACTTGGCTCTCCTAATTGCTTTTGCTTTTAATTGGTATAAAAAATGCTGTTAATATTCAACCAGTAACAGAATGTACTTTCTCCCCTTTTTCTCACCGTTTATTTTTTTCTTTATTGTTTTTCTCTCCTAATATTGTTCGTGTGTCCTTCTAATGAGCTTGTTTTTGGTGCACAATCCTCGCTCTTTTTCTCGCCCGTTACTGCTGGTGGGTATTTTAATAGATGATTTCCTACATAATTAGCCTGATGCAATTCCCAGATTTCCTCCAAATGCAGATCCTAGTTGATGATGAGGATATTGATCAAAAGATTCGGCCAGTCAGCTGGTCTAATTTCCTAAATGGGCTTCCGTCTATCTTGCTCCTTCTTCTCCTCTTTGCACATTTTTTTTTTTTTTACTTTCTGATGGCTTTCTTTTTCTCCTTCCCCGCCGAGGAATGAAAAGGAAATATAGGTCATCTTTTATGGGAGCAATTTGACACATGACACAAGCGATGCGCATCACTTGCTCAAGTCCTGCTTTTGTCTGCTCGCCTTTATGTGTCTTTAATGAAAGCCACGCAGTTATTCACACACTTTTATTACGCTTCTATAAGTAGCTGGAGTAGACTAGTCGAGTCACACCCCCCCCCCCCCACACACGCACACACTAATACTCTTCGATCCCCGTGGTGTCTGTCTGCACGGGGCTGATAGTGTGAGACGCCTGGCTAAACTCCACCGAGCCCAATCCCCGCTCCACAGGCCTGCCAAAGCTGGCTCGGCTCGGTCTCCCCAGACACAACCCTGTTTCCACTCAGGACACAGGAGTGTCTACATGACAGTGGCGGGTTAAGTCATCGGTGGTAGACGCCTATTTGCCTGGATGTGTGGATGGCTGGAGAGATGAAGGCTGAGACGAA